ACCTGAGGTCAGGAGTTCGAGACCAGCCTGGCCAACATGGTGAAACCCCGTCTCTACTAATAAAACAAAAATTAGCCAGGCTAGTGGTGCATGCCTGTAATCCCAGCTACTTGGGAAGGTGAGGCAGGAGAATTGCTTCACCCAGGAGGTAGAGGTTGCAGTGAGTTGAGATAGCGCCACTCCATTCCAGCCTGGGCAAGAAGAGTGAAACTCTGTCTCAAAAAAGAAAAGGTGGTGGCAGCAGCTCAACCCTGGGCACCCTGCTCCGCTTGAAAAAATGAGTGTGTTCCTGGAGTCCATCTTGTTCACTTGTCTCTTCCTAGTGCCCAATACAGTACCTATCCCAAGCAGGCCCAAAGGACAGGTTTAATGAATGCATCAATCAGGGTCTATGGGAATAGTGCAGTGACAGCACTCAGCATTTCAAGTAAGCAGGTCAAACTCTACCTGTCCATAGCAAAAAGTGGGAGAAGAGCCTCAGTTCTCATCTGGAAAATGGGGATAATCCCTAAAGGAAAATATCGACAAGATGGTGTTGAGGCCCATTCAAACTCTAGGACCCAAGAGTTTGGTTTTCTGTTTTTGTTTGTTTGTTTGTTTGTTTGTTTGAGATGGCGTCTTGCTCTGTTGCCCAGGTTGGAGTGCAGTGGCACAATCTCAGCTCACTGCAACCTCCACCACCCAGGTTCAAGCAGTTCTCATGCCTCAGCCTCCCATGTAGCTGAGATTACAGGCAGGTGCCACCACACCAGGCTAATCTTCGTATTTTTAGTAGACACAGGATTTCACCATGTTGGCCAGGCTGGTCTCGAACTCCTGACCTCAAGTGATCCTCCTGCCTCAGCCTCCCAAAGTGCTGGGATTAGAGGTATGAGCCACTGCATGTGGCCTAGGACCCCAGACTTTGTATAGGAGAAAATAAGAATCCATTCATGGATTCCCTAAATAGATAATATGTTTTCAGAAAAAAAGACCCAAGAGATATGGAGTCTTTTCCTCTGGCTCCCTTAGCCCAGGAACCTTGTGCAAGTCAGTAACCCCAAGTATCAAATTGCCTCCTCCGTAAAATGGGGCCTGCCTTAGGGCACCTTGATGACTCTCTATCACCTCTATGATCCCCCAGGATACAGGGAGAATGAAATAAATATGGGTCAAGCCACTAACACCCTCTAATGCAAAAGCTTGTGGCTACTTTACCTCCATCTCATAGATTCGTTGTGCGATGCGGTTATCATGAATAATCACCCGAGATAAATGGCTCTTGGGTAAAGTTTTTTTCATTGCTGCTTCACTGGAATTCATTACGCTGGAGCAGGGAGGGAAAGGTGGTACAGGTTACAGATGGCTGGAGCCAGGGCCAGAGCACATTTGACGGGGTCCTGAGGGAGTGGCTGAGGCTTCCCCAGGTTTCTTAGGACAAGTGCAGCTCTGCCATACTTTTCAGAAGAACAAGGGAGTAACCACAGTTTCTTGTTGTGGAAAAGGTACGCTAAAGGGGTATTTCATGGATACCTAGAAGAAAAGCCATTCTGAGGATATAAAAGGGCCCAGTGCAGTCCACAAGAGAAGGGTAATCAGGAGCTCAGAACCATCCTCAGAAGCAGTCATCCTTTTTTTTGTTTTTTGTTTTTTTTGAGACGGAGTTTCACTCTGTCTCCCAGGCTGGCGTGCAGTGGTGCAATCTTGGCTTACTGCAACCTCCACCTCCGGTTCAAGCAATTCTCTTGCCTCAGCCTCCTGAGTAACTGGGACTACAGGTACTTGCCACCATGCCTGGCTAATTTTTGTATGCTTAGTAGGGACAGGATTTCACCGTGTTGGACAGGCTGGTTCTGAACTCCTGACCTCAAGAGATACACCCACCTCAGCCTCCCAAAGTGCTGGGATTACAGGCAAGTGCCACTACGCCCACCCAGCCAAAAGCAGTCATCTTGATGATCCTTCTTAAGGATGAAATGGTGAGAGGAGTCTTAGAGGAGAGGAGTAAAGTTGTAGGGTAGGATTCAGAAGGATGAATCTGAGAGGTGTTTAGCTTGGGGGGCACTTGCTCTAGAGCGTATGCCTCAAAGGGATCTGGGAGGTGGGGGGTTGGGGGAGTATAAATTAGAGCAGGGAGAAATGAAAATGAAAAGCTTGGACAGGTGTTAGGCTGGTTAACAGGGAAATTCTGGAAGAAAGTTTGGGGAGTTTAGAAAAGTGAGGGAGGTATGGGGTGGCCAAGGGTTTTAGGAGGCTCTGAAAGGTGAGAGGTGAAAGATGGGGTGGGGTGGGCTAGAATGGAGCCAAGTACTCCAGGTGAAAATACAACAATCTGGTCAAAATGAGAAAACGGTGAAAAGTGGAAACACTTCCAGGCACTGAGTTTTCACTTTTTGATAATTTGGTTACACCACGAAGTAGTTTTATGAACATATACCTTTAAATGGTTTTGTCCATTTAAAAATAATTGTTCAGGACCGGATGTGTTGGCTCACACCTGTAGTTCCAGCACTTTGGGAGGCTGAAGCAGGCGAATCACGTGGAAGTCAAGAGTTCCAGAACAGCTTGGCAAACATGGTGAAACCCCGTCTCTGCTAAAAATACAAAAAGTAGCTGGGCGTGGTGGTGAGCGCCTGTAATCCCAGCTACTCGGGAGGCTGATGCAGGAGAATCACGTGAACCCACGAGGCGGAGGTTGCAGTGAACTATCGTACCACTGT